GTAGGTGGGAGGAAATGTGGAGGAAGCGGGAAGGAATTGAGCGGTGGACTGTATTTAGTTAGCAATTTGTATTTTCTTTAGCGTGTATGTTTCTTAGCGTTTATCTGTCTTATTCCCTGTCTTATCGTTGTTTTGTAGCATGGTTTCTTTGTAATAGAGTGATAAAAAGTTGTTAAAAAGATATGCGATTAGTAGAAAAAAACTGCATCGAGTTACCCCGGTTATTTACACCATTCCCCGACTATGATCGTGTGAATTTATTAATTTTGTCACAGACTGCCGGATGGAGTAAATAACCGGGGCATTACACTCTTGGATCGTTGACTGTTCCCAGCCTCCCCAAGCGGACAACCCTCTTCCCTATAAGAGACATAAATGCCAACGTTATAGGGTTATCAATGACACATCCTCTAACTAACGTCTGAATTGCACAGCTCGCGCTCCCGCCATGAGTTGAACCCATAGCATTGAGGACATGTATCAGATATTTACCACTAAGCTAAGTACCTTTGTTGCACCAGCAACTCTTTTGGACCCTAAATACCTTGCAAGTATTATTTTTTATTTTTTAATTTTTTTATTTTTTATTATTATTTTTTTTTTTTATATCTAATTTAATATAATATTTCCGCTGCCTAAATTGTGTACACAACTCGCGGTCGCGAGGTGGCCCACCCCTAGTCCCTTCGTACGTTTTCACGACATGTGGCAATTGGTGGCTCACCATACAAATTGTAGAAGCTAACTGCAAATGTCGGCTGGCAGTGCAAGATAGACACAAAATTTCTCTAAAAGGTAGTGGAGTATACTCTGTTTCGTTAAAATTTTGTCTATCACGACGCCGTCGTGGGCCTAACATGTTGTGAATACCGGGAACAGACGAAGGGATATGCGCATGAAGGGTCACAACATTATGCATTGTCTACAAACTATTTTGGCCTTACTTGGATTGTATTGCAGCTTAACACGCACAATTCGAGTAGATAAGTGTTTCTATAAGCTCTTAAACTGTACCAAGATATGTAGAAGGTATTTTACTAATATAGCTGTGAGTAAGTTATATATAAGCTAGAGTACATCATCTGTGGAATTGCGGGTGATAGTTGGTGCGCCAAGATAAGTACCTAGATGATGACTCAAGAATGACTAAGGAAATCGTTCGTTGCATTGATGTCAAAACAACCAGTAAGGAATTGAATTTGTAAAAGCCCACAGAGGAATATAAGAGATTAATTAGACTCTTTATTTTTTTAGGTTAATATGAAGTATCATTTCTCCTACCTAGATTTAGTGGAAATAATTAGATAAGCTGTACATATGTAGAGGAGTGCCAAGCGAGTAACAACTCGCTTGGCACTCAACCGAAACTAATACTGCCCAATCAAATATTCCATGCTTCCCACACTGCCGAATCATTTGTCGGTTTCCCACCCTGTAATATTTCGATCGGTCCTGTTATGCCATAACTAACTAATACCATCACCGTTACTCCGAGAATTCCCAGAGTAGAAACCTATCACGTTTGATTCCGTCACTCGAGTGTTGAGATTGGCCCCTCAGCAAGCGTCTTTAGCCTATCACATTCGAAGGTTACTCAACGGGATCCTGACGTTCTACAAAGAAAATTCACGAGATGGATCGGGAAGGACGCATCTGAGGATTCAGGAACGGTGATTGAATTTCCCGAGCTTATTGAGGAAGAGTTGAAAGTAGGAAGTTGACCCTGGTATATTCCTCGGAATCCCGGGGATTCAGGATCATTGTTAAATAGAGCCTTCAAGTCCCTCGTCTGTTTTGTTTTCTCTCCATCTTCTTTCGAAAGTGAAGAGTACTAAGGCATTTTATCTATGGCTATCCTTCGTTACCTTGTTCTTTCGCTGTTGCCGTTTTCGGCTTATGCTCTGCAGGCGCCTGTTGATACCACAACATGTGGTGGAAAGACTTTCACTTATCAGGAGCTGAGCGGGTACGGATTTGTGCCGAGCGACTTTAGAGACAAGTTCGGGGACACTCTCTCATTTGGTTCCGGGATTGCGATTGAGCGGAGCTCGTGGAGAAAGACCAACGGGAGTTATGACGGGATCTTGTGGATGCTTCCTGATCGTGGCTGGTAAGTTGATGGTTGGCATCCGTACTAACCCTAGTGGGCCATTTATTAGGAGCCTGCTACTGTCGAACAATCATTGACAGACCAATCTTGTGCGCAGGAACACCGAAGGCACAACTGCCTACCAGCCCCGAATCCACAAGTTTAAGATCTCTTTCAACCCTGAGATAGCTACCACCCCCTCTCCTCCCAACCTTCACTTTAGCTACCTCGACTCAATCCTCTTCACCGATCCCTCGGGTGACGCACTCGCCGGACTCGACCCCACTACCTCACTTGCCTTCCCCAACTTTCCAAACCTTCCCGCGAGTAACTTTACCGGTAACGGCTTTGGCGATGCTGGCCCAGGCGGTGTGAGAGTCTCGTTGGATCCCGAGGCGGTAGTGCTTGGTAACAAAGGTTTTTGGATCAGCGATGAGTATGGCCCGTTCATATATCATTTCGACGAATCCGGGAAGATGACCCAGGCTATTAAGCCCCCGGCTGCACTTATCCCCATGAGAAATGGCGTTGAAGAGTGAGTTTAAGAGATTTTCCTTCTCCATCGGCGTTATCGATTCGTACACTTACGCGTCTCCGTGTAGCTTCTCATCCGACAACCCGCCCAGATACGATCCATCTCTTTCCCCGAGCCCAATCGATCCAACTTCTGGGCGATCAAACAACCAGGGCTTCGAGGGATTGGCGGTTTCTGGAGATGGCAAGAACTTGTTCGCTTTGCTTCAGTCCGCAACAGTGCAGGATGGCGGATTGGAGAAAACTAGTAATAGATTCGCGCGGATGCTAAAGTATGATATCTCGGAGGACGACAAGCCGAGATACGCCAATGAGTTTGTCGTTCCACTTCCGGGGTACCCTGATGTAAGTTAGCAGTTGTCTACAGATGTATTGGAAGGCGCCGGTATGACTGACTCTACTCCCAGCCTTCAAAGAAGAAAAACCCTCGCACAGCTGCCCAATCCGAGATCTTCGCTGTTGGCAAGAATCAGTTCTTCATCCTTTCCCGCGATAGTGGCTACGGCCACGGTGGCGATGGAACCGAGTCTCTCTACCGCCAAATCGACGTATTTGACATCACAAACGCCACAAGCATCAAAGGCTCCAAATATGACTCTCAAAACTCTTCAATCACCACTTCGTCTTCGAGCGGTGTTCTCAAGTCCGAAATCACGCCTGCGACATACTGCCCTTTTATCAACATGAACAATAATGATGAGCTTGCAAAGTTTGGCTTGCACAATGGCGGGGACCAGGACTCAAGCTTGCTCAATGAGAAGTGGGAGGGCCTGGCAATTGTTCCCGTTGATGGCAAGGATGGAGATGACGACTGGTGGTATGTTATTGCTGTCAGCGATAATGACTTTATCACTCAGAACGGTAAGTCCGCTTTCGAGAAAGAAAGAACAAAGTTCCCCTGAACATCCACTGATAATTGTGCATAGGAACCTACAACTTTGGCAAGGACACCTACGTCGACTCTTCAGGCTACAGCCTTGACAATCAAGCTTTGGTGTTCAAGGTGAAGCTCCCAGATCATTCGAGACCCTTTGACAGGTCCTCGAAATGATTGAGTGCGGGTAGTTATTGCGTGGATACCTGGGTGATCATCCATGGGTTTTGAAAGTTATAATTATGCACTCTAGTGTACAAGAGTTTTACTATTTATTAAATAGACTAATAAATATGTCGGTATTATATAAATAATTACCTATACTAGTGCAATTGTATGCGGTTAATTCGTTATAATATAATTATGCCCGGCGTAGCACACTAGGTCACCGTCACCACAGTGTACTTCTCGATGATATATCTCATACGTATAGCTGTACAGCGTTCTAGTATGCTATGGTGACGTTCCCAGCGGCAAAAATCCAGGATCACAGAGGTAAGGATCAAAACTGATCTCTGGCATTCGTTTCCGTTTCACGAACAATTCCGGGCCAAAGAGTTAATCGATCGTCAGTGCTGAGGAATCCGAGTCACTGGCCATAGCTTAAACATAGTCTCGCTTGATAATCAGCCGTTTAACTCACCTGTTTATTTGGCAAATTGCAAAGTGTGGACGTTAGAAGATCTAGAAATATTTCACCGAAAACTAGTGTACATGTGGTCGAGATGAACAGGAGGAAAAGCTCGACTCGGCTTGTGACGACAGATGCTCGTTTGGACCCGAATTGTGAAAGTTCGAGTGGCTCGGGCTCGAGCTTTTCGGTGGTTTCAGGTTTGGGTGTTGGCTCGCCGCTCACACCATCAAAACCCCAGCTTTCCGGGCCAAAAAGCAGTCTTCACGAAAGTTACATAGTGCCCGTATTGTCCCCGATACGATCCCCAGAAACCGAGCGAATAGGCACTACATACAATTCTAGAACATTGGAGGCCTAACTTAGTTACATGTAGCCATACAAACCCTGTTTTCAACCCATGCATGTTTCCTGCATGGTGTTTGAAAAGTAACTAGAGTACAGTTCGAGCCTGACAAGGGGCCAGGAGGACAAGCACTTCCGCAGCAGTCTCGTCGCACAACCTACCGTCATTTATTACCTGCATGCTGGTTGACCAATGCTGTAGAGTACATATAGGTACGTACTTACTCTAGCTCAATGGAACCCTGTTTGGTTTTCGGAAGGATGACGATCAGGCTCGATTTTTTTTTTTTTTTATTTAATGCAAGGCATTTACCAACGCTCTAATAGCTGTAGATGACTGGTACGAATACACGGCCATGAAACGTATCCTAGTCGTCTCAATTGAATTGCACAACACCAACCTTTCCAACGGAGTTGACCATGCATGAGGGACAATATTTATACTCGTTCACCGCGCTCGTAGGCTCTGCTCAACCATCGTGATCCTCTCGAACCTCAAGCTACAACGACTATTCCGTAACGTGGAAATGACAATTCGTCAGAACGATGCCGGCCCTGGTAAACCTGTTTCGAATGAAGAATCGGAGCCGCTTGCGCCAGTTAAATGTAGCGAAAGGTTTCTACATGGCAAACTTATTCAGGAGTATGTATTTCAACCTGAAGGAAGTTATACTGAGGAATGTGCTCCATGTACTTACCACCACTGCCCGCAGCTTGCCACATAAATGCTCGCAGCCCTATACTATAAACCCCTCCGGCAGAAGAATCTATAAAACGCAGATTGAATGCGCTTTTCCCGAATGTAAAGCGATCTTTAAGAAAGCAAGACAGTTCGACCGCCACTACCGCACAGTGCATATCCGTGCGGCAGACCAGAAGCTTGACTGTACCATTGAGGGATGTCGTCGTACTGGCGAGGAAGGGTTTAGTCGGAAAGATAACCTCATTCAGCACATGAGGAGTGTTCATGGCGAAGAAATCCCAAAGAACCTGGTAAGGTTTAATGGGACGAGGGCAGGAATAATGTGGGGCGGTTGGGTCGATGAATCGCAACCAAGGTATCTGGTGAAGGGAACCTCTGGATCGATAGGACTAGGAGTAGCCGGTTAGTGATAGCTATTAAAATCTGTTTGCACGGTCAGGATCTCTCATATATATATATCGGTATATATACTTCCTTTCCCTCTATCGATACCTCAATCTTCGGTCCTGGCACCTCCCGAGATTTTTTAATATTGTTCAACACTCCTTTCCTAATTAAGGGGAAGAACATTTACTTCGTTTCTGGATTAACTTGTTGTACCCCTGGCGTTTTTTTTCTTCGGGTTTTCTCTACACCTTTTCCACTGTTCGTTTTGAGGCTTATTTTATTTTCTGCTTCAGTGTAAACTCGCCCTTCGCACTCGAGTCTATGGATTGGGTTGGATTAGCCATATTTCTTATCGCGTGCTCTTTTTGATTTCTATGTATATCTACTACTGTCATTCACTAGTACTACTACGTGGTTAAAATACAAACATTGACAATTGCTTATTATTCATGACGATATCTGGGTGATAAAAGTGAACTCGTTCTGTTCTCATGAGTACCTGACCGACAGATCTAGATAGTGGAGAGTTTAGTATCTGTCTGTATTGGGTTGTACATATCTATGTATAACGTACACAACGTATACTAGGCACGGCGGCCAAGGGGCGACATAAGGGATGAAGGGTCGTACTAGGCGGTCTGGATTAATTAGATTCCGTATATCGAGGCGCTTCGATCTTAATCACACCGGCGCGGGTTGAGCGATTGAATTGTCTGTCAGTCAAGATGTGCTTACTCTACATACCTCAATAATAGTTTTAGGTTCGAGCCTTGTTGTACTAATCTCCTATACGCTGGTGTGTATGCGTCTCACCGCCAGCAGATGGGTGACGAGAAATTTAAAGTGAACAGGGGTGAGAGTATGTATAAATTCAGAGCCATCTCCCTACCTCTCTCTCCGCAAACTTCTGCCCGTTCTTACCTCCATTGCTACACCCACCGTACCTTCTTGATTCGTCAGACCCTCGCACACATACAAAGACACACAACATGCAGTCATCTACCATGCCGAAAACTAGCGCTGCGTGTGCAGGGTAAAGCTTTTTTTTTTAGGGTGCTGACGATCAGGCTCGAAACAGCAACTTCCACCGCCTACCAGCTGCATGCGCAGGCCAGTCCAGGTGGTGCCCAAATTGTTTCGATTGGGCCTTGCATGATGCCGAGTACTGGGTACGTGCGCATATGCCTGGTGCGCAGCGTAGTACGAGCATCTGTCCACCCGAAACCCCACCCTGTTCCACCCACAATATTCCGGGAGCTCTACCAAGATCATCACCCCAGCTGCAGGTAAACAATCGTGGTGATCGTTTATTCTTCAAGTGTTCTTTGAATGCCTGCGAGAAGAAGTTTCAGTATGCGTCCCCCATATTTCTTCCATGTCTTCTTTAAAGCCCAGCTACGTATACTAACAAGTCAAGACGTTGGCCGCATGAGTGCATACCAGATGCGAGTCGTCGTCAATGCAAAGCTACTTGCACAACCGAAATCAATGGCAAAGAATGCTTGAGGGTTTTTAAAAATATCACGGAATTCAAGCGACACTTTGACTCCGTTCACATCGGCACGAAATTCGACTGCACCGAGGCGGGATGTCATCGTGTCGGGGATTATGGATTCACGCGTAGGGACAACCTCATCGACCATATGCGAGCGGTCCATCGCATGACGATTACAAAGAGCTGGGTCCGCTTTGGTGGTAGGACTCAGGATGGAACCCCCGTCGTCGTCGAGACCACGACCGAGGAAATCGAAGAAGGTATGGACGAAGAATATTAGAAGACTTTGGTTATCGATAGCCATGAGAGCGGATATGGGTGACGTTTGGTTTTTTTCCTTTCGCTCACTCATTGCAACTATTTCGATTTATATTTTGCTGCTGTCTTTATCGGTTTTCGTATCATGCACGTTCTTTCAAACTTTTCTTTCTTCTCTTAATTGCCTGCCTAGCTAGTGGCAGGCATATTCATGCTTTTTTCTCTTTTTTCTTTTCATATCCTTATTCGATCTACATCGCTTTTCCTTTGAAATATTATCGCGACGTTTGTTTCACTCTTTTTACTCTCTTTGGATTGAAAATGTATCGTGGAGTTGTGTGGAGTTAGGTGGTCGTGTCAATCATTCAAAATCTTTCCTAATAATCATTACCACTCTCGTTCCACTCGTTCACACGTGAGGTTTAAATTCAGTAAAACTAAACCTTTTTGGTTATCTTACAGTTTCCGGTAGAATTATTGCGAAAGTGGGTTCTCCGTGACCCGATAGTCCTATTGGCCCTTAAAAGACTTTTGCTACGAGCACAGACCAACAAAATCCACTCTTTTAGCTCTGACTTTCGCAATAATTCTACCGGAAATTGTAGTGGTACCCTGCTGCCGTTGCCATGGCAACTCAAATACCTGAAAATACTTGACACATAGCTACAGATGAAGAATGGGTTTGAATTTTTCGGTGCTTTCAATTTTACGTGGATGTTGATAGTACTAGAGGTACATACTCCTCGCAGAGAATGCGAGGCTGAGGAATAAGTGCTATTAGCATGCCACGTCCACGTTTCGTATCTACAGCGTGACACGAGTAGGTTGTGCCTACGGCGTACGTACACAGATCAAGGAATTAGAAAAGCACAAGAGCACAACGACATATCCATGCTCCTAGAAAAACCTACGCGCACGTCCACCCCGTGGTGGCCGATCGAACTTTGCTGGAAAAGTATCGTAGGGATATGATTTAGAGAGAGGTTTTGTTAGCAAAACAAATGAAGTAGAATTTCGATAGCTATAGGTTGAATTACTGCATGGTCACGGCCGGCCGGTACATACCGTTGCCTCCCCACTGGACACGGGCCGGGTAATCCCTGTCCCCGAGACCTCGGCTGTCCACTAGCACCGACAGCGCCTCAGGCTGGAATATATCGAACCCACCCGACCGACATCCAATCCCACGGGCCCAGCCAGCATCATCGATAATTGATTCGCCCACTCCCAAGAAGAACAATGCGAACATTTCACCGCCTCCTCGCCTCACATGGCATCCCAAACAAGGCGAAATCCACTTTAGGTAATTAACTCCATCAAATAGGCCAGCTGGAGCTACAGCGGGGTGGTGTGCAGTGCTAATTGGAGGCCAACAAGCTGATAGCTCTTCTCCCGCCAATCCCGCTGTATCGGCGGCTGTTTAGGGCGCATAGGAATAAGCTGGGTCCCATGGTATGGTTTGGTTTTATCTGCGAATGGCTAACTGGGGGAAGGAGGCGGACGGTTGGTTAATTAGCTGTGGTGGTAGGAACGGTTCTTCGGGGATGAGTATATCAAGGCCGAGTTCAGGCGCCATAGGGATATTGACAACCCGCTGCAGATCGTAAGTATCACTATGGTGTCTTGAGGTTTCGGGGGGCTGGGTTTAAATTCTAATAGTGGCGCAGGTGGGGTTCTTGAAGGAGTGGCAGCTATATGCGCAGAAAATCGAAGGCGACACATGGCGGGATGAGAAGCTGGATGAGGAGAAGTTGAATAAGATGAGCGGTAGGTTCAATGTTCTTTTTGTAGTTTATTATTACTGAATACTGACCATCTTTTTAGATCAGCAAGTCGGACAGCTTTACGAATTAATGAAAGCCATCAGAGATCCTCATGGCGACGGTGGACACGGAGAGGGGGAAGGGGAAAATGCTCCCCCGGAGAAGATATAGAGGAAGATATCAATGTCTTTGTATTATACTCTGCTAAAAGACCTATATTCGCTTCCTTCCTCCACTTTAATTCCGGCGGTGGGCAAACTTGCACATCTTACTACAATCTACTTTTTCTGCGAAATCTCTATCGATGTGAAAAGTTGACAGTAAATTCAGATCATAAATCCCCCGCCCCTGAATCGTCGTCTCCCACTTCCTGGCGATCTCGAAAATCTTCATGAAATATCACTCGTGATCGGGAAAGCAGATTCCATAGAATTAATGTTCTAGGCGGGCAATCTATATTCTTACTCAATTTTAAACAAATCAAAAACCACTATGCATCAAGATATATCATATCGTCCGTTTCATTTTTGGTGGTTTTCCATTAAACAACCATCCTGCGTCAATGTCAGCACTCGGTTTGTACGCTTTCAGGATGAGAGGTCTTACCATCTACTCATCCAAGTGGAGGTGATGTTCTTGGCTTCATCAACCAATCCCATCTCGAGCATCAATTGCACAGTTCCTCTTACCGCAGATTCTAAAGCAGAGGAAATCCAGGCATGTGTATAGGCAGTGTGTTCTCCAATGAATATGACCTAAGTCACAAGCGTCAGTAAATAATTAATCCCTTGAAAAGTCGCCCTTTCTCATATACAGGACAAGATTGCGGCTACTTACATTGTTCTCGGTCTCAAAATAACTCGGAATGTACAACTCATGTTGTCCAACGCCGGGCGCTGCCCAACTAGCGGCAGCATTCTCATCCAGTAACCAACACTGGCGATCAAACCTGCGCACATGGTCAGCAAACAACGCATAGAAATGGATCAGGACACGAAAAGCTTACTTCCCGGTATACTGCTCCTCGACGATCGGCCCATGGATCTCGGCGATAGCGTTGAGAACGTACTGCACATGGTCCTCCTCGGACATGGCGCCGGCTCGGAAGGCAAAGTCGGAGGAGGTATAACTGGCGAGCATCACACCGGGACCGGTACGGTTGAGCTGGTAGGAGGGGTAGCAGATGGTGCCAATTCCTAGTGGGGTTGTTAGAATGTTTGGTGGAAAATATACGGAGAGGGCGAATTAGCTTACCATGGATGTCGGTGGAGGTACAGCCGCCAAGAATGGGCTGTTCTAGGTGCTCCCAGAAGCGGGTGCTGAATTGGAGAGATACCTGCGATTGCGTGTTAGCCTCCCATCACCGGGAATGTCTGTGGGGGTTGCTTAAATACTTTGCATGCACTGTTGTACTCCAATTTATCGATGGCCCTCGACAATACACTCGAGAACTCTACACGCAGTCGCCCGTTAGTCACCCACACCTCTTGTTCTTCTGCAAACTACCAACTCACTAGGAAGCCTCCAACGGCGGACCTGCGTAAACGGCACCGCAACGAACGCATAATCGAACTCCTCCTCCTGGAACACCTTCTCCGTCAGATTATCCCGCCACGAGAACTTTATCTTGTTACTTTCGGCCAGATACTCGGCCTTCTCGATACGCTGGTGAAACTTGACTCTGTCCCCGAGGAAAGGGCGGAATGCGAGTGGGAGCCTTTCAAGTCCTGTGGCATGTATGTATTAGTCACACAGCCCGGCAGAGAATGATACAAGTGGCCTTAATTTAATTACCTTTATCAATAGTCCTCCAGGTCGTTGCCGAAAAATAGAAGCTCTCGAATCTACAATTAACCCCGCACGTCAGCTATGAGTACCATGAAGCTAACAACCCATCGCCAACCGAAATTTAAAACTTACAACGCCCCCCAAAACGAAGCTTGTCCCGCGCCGTCAAGTGTGTCAAGCGCCAAATCAGTAATATTCAGCTCGGCACCCAAAAGATTTCTGATGAATCCGTACTCGGACCAACTATCCCATCCCTCGTCTGTGCTATAATTAGCCCGGAATTCAGGGTTAGGGTTACACTAGATGGTGGGATTTACTGATGAATTGTTTGTGCGCGCGGTACATATTGTTTGACAATAGGGCGAGCCTTTCCGGCGAGAGAAAGATTTCTCGGATTGAGTCATCGACCTGTTCGAGCCCAGGAGGGAGGACAGTCGTGGTGTTCATGGCAGCAATCTCGCCCACCTATCATCGTTAGCACATCACGCCCCCATCTAGAGACTGGCTATGAATACTTACAGTAGGGACACTTCCGTCCGCATTCCTAACGCCGCCGTTGTATGAAGGCGCGTTCAGCGAGCTCTGGATCCATGGGATGAAGTCGACGGAAAGGTCGTCCCCGGGGGTGGCACCGTTGAGCTTGTTGATGGTTTCAACGAGCTGGAAGACAATCTGGTGGTCCTTGATTTGGAGGGTTTCGTTGGTGGAGGGGTATTTGATTGATTCGGGAACTGTGTGGAGTCAGTATTCTTTAGAAGGGAGCTGCAGTGGATGCCAAGAGAGCTTACAGCGCATGGGTCCCATCTCTTGGTACTGGTAATCGGAAGGTTCGCCTTCGAGATAGATCGTACGGATACGACTGCGTGAGTTAGCTAGGTAGGCTTGTTCGTAATTGGAGAATGGTTTACGTACCCGCCAACACGATGGGAGGACTCGATGATCTCGAAATTATGGAAGCCATGGGATTCGAGGATGAGCTGTGGAATTATGCATGTTAGTGATTTACAAGTTGTCAATGATAGCAAAACACTTACAGAGCTCATCAACCCGGCCATCCCACCACCTATAATACCGATCCCTACGCCCCACGATATCAATATCAGCATATAAAACCCCGCGTATGATATACCCAGGTAACGGAGGTAATTAAAGCATACGTTTTCCCTTGGCAAGCTCCACATCAACCTGGCTAACGTTTTTCCCCTCTAGGTAGGCCACTCCATCAAACCACGGTCCGCTCGCATCAATCCCGCTTGCGTTATTCATCTTGATACTCTCCAAGTCTCTCCTTCTCCTCTTCCTCCGTAGGCTCAGATCCACGACCTCGCTCCGGCATACCTCATCACCGCTTGCCTCATCCCATGCAATCAGGCACCCGCCCTCAGGCGAGTCCTCGGGCAGACGCCATACAAGTCTCGAGGACTTGAGCGCATGCACGCTACTTGCGACGGTGTGGTGTGCAGAAACGGAGTCAGAGTCGGTGCACGGGCTGTAGGTTATCGTGAGAGGGTTTGGATGGGGCGTAGTCACAGTGAGGTGGATATTGGAGAGGCCAGTGTCGACTGGGGCTAAGATGTCCAAGCTGATTGAGCCAGCGAGAGCCCCGCTCAGGAGTGAGAGAAGGAGCACTTGGGGGCGGCGGAATGCCATATTCACTTGGAGGTTTGCAGTGCGTCTATGCTGCCTACTAGCTTGTGTGGATGGAGGACAAGAGGGAGTTCTTATATGTAGTGGGAGCTAGATTTGGGAGCTGGATGGTACGATATACTCTAGAGAGCCAGCGTGCGGCGGGCATTATTGTTGCGCTGCATTGGGGCATACACTACGCAAGCACCTACCTGGAACGGGGGGGGGGGGGGGGGGGGGGTTAGGCGGCTCATGGAGAGTGCATCATGGAGAGGGCAGGGCTCGGGGTGAGGCCGTGGTACCTGGAATACCTTGCGCTTGGGGGTGGGGGAAGCTGGGGGGTTCTTTGTGCTTTGAAATGCGTGTTGTAGTTTGCTTAATGTCATGTCAATTAACTGGATGCGTGCATATACAGCTCATGTACGTATAGTGATCATCTAGAAAACTCTGCGTAACAAAGGTTGTACGTATACCGAAATCAAATACGGACACAATTCGGCTTGTCAACTGGGCTGTGACCATGATGCTACTATTTCCTGGGGTGGTTGTACCTGTATTCATGTAGCACAAGGGCCGTTTCTATGCATGTAATCGAAGACGACAAGGCATATGCTTTGCCAAGAGCGTTCCCCATCCGTATCGATTAGCAGATATCCGGGGTACTGATTACGCCCTTCAGACTTGATCGGCCGCCTATCTAAGCCCTTGCGAGCGCGGAAACTCTCATTGGTAAAATCGAGGCGGGCGAATGTTACCTCGTTACGTAGATTTATTAATATATATATATGTGTATGACTGTATCCCACCAATGCGTTGGAACTATCCGACCCCGAGCCCAAGGCATTGTGCGTATACGTAGAGTGCTAAGTAGTCAGCTTAGAGCACTAGTGATGCGTCTAGAGATGAATGAAATACATGTATGTAGAGGACTATCGAGTGGGGTGAAAAGTACAATATATTGCAGAGTACTTATGTATACATATCGTTCTGTAGGTATAACATCCAACATGTTGGTACCTACAAGTACATGTAGCTATAGAGCTGGTACCGGCCGGTATAGAGGGTAATGCCAGAATACTGAATACGAGGGACCTACATGGTACCCGGCCAGTACTCTACTGATCTACGTGTATGTACTCTATATGTGTTACGGGCCGGGCTGTGAGCATTCAGTTGAGCCTCTGCCGCTTCTGCCCCAGGTCTGTTCCCCAGTACACCTCTCGACGCCATGTAGGGAGATTTTGTGGTATGTACGTGCTTCGAATTCTAGAAGCACGTAACCATCTGTTTTACCTTCTAGGTATTTATTATACTCTAGCGTACGATATGATATCAAGAGATCAGGTGGGTATGTAATTGACTGGTATCTATTACATATATACATATCTGGTACACAGCTAGGGAGTGTTGCCTTAACTTTGACAGTTTGATCGTATCGAGAAGGTGGGAAATTCCGGAGGAATGTTGGGCCACCACGGCCTTGTACATGTACTACGACGGATAAATACGGGGTTCGCTTAAATTGTGTGAGCCGAATTCGTGGATGGTAAAGATGATGTACACACATGTACAGTCGAACCTCGTTATGTCGTTAGCTTATTCTGGGAGCCAAACCCCTACGAGATAGCAAATATACGAGACAGCAAGAGATCCGAGATATCGAATTACGAGATAGCGAGGTGCGACTGTATGTAGGTCCATACATGTAGTTTACATCAGCAGGAGGTCTGATTACACATAGGTATTTACAAGTAATCTCGGGGTCCGAGAAACCGGCATGAGCTGGCCTGGGTTATGATGTATATGTATAGCGATCAGATTCCCGTAGGTGCGCGCATGTGTCGTTTGACATAGGTAGAATATAAACACGTACACACGCACATATGTAGCCGAAGTTATAGTTATGTACTTGATCATGACATAGACGTCGTCTGATTGATTCAGGGAGACTCTGATAGATACACGCATCCTCATTAATATTAACTCCCACCTCCTGAACCGGATTCACTTGCTCCCCTCGACCTCACATATGATATTTTGTCGTCTAACTCTAATTATTCTAGCAAGCAGCTATATATATCGGCCATCAACTACGTGCCAGCTATGTTCTGTGGTGATATGAAGTTGTATTAAATTTACTTTGAACTTCTTGGAGGTTGAGAGCCAACCGATTAAAGTCTCCCCGCAGTCAAGAGATCTGTGGTCCGAATTTCTGGCACAACGACCCGCACGTGCATTTCATCGGTCTCGGCGCTCAACGTCCATTCCTCTAGTTAATTGTTTCATAGGTGCCAACATCGACGGTGACTCGACGCCATGTGGCACATTTTGAGTAACAGCGTGCAAGATCTTCAGAACGATTTCCAGGAACCAAAATTTGAACCTGCCTGCATGAGGGAAAAAACGCTTTTTGCACCACTCAGTGAGGTCGGCACTTTAGGTGCACTACGCCTTCTACAAAGTCAATTGGGCAATTGCTGATCTAAGCTAAGCTCTAGACTACTCTATCTAAACTACCCACATAACCGGCTTTGTTCCCCACTTGAGAGTACTCTACACTTGCGCCGCTGGACTGCAGTCGTCCTGTTTGATAGTGATAGCCCGAGTGTGTTCGGGCACATAAACCGCTTTTAGAGCATGCAAGTTGGAAACCCGGTGCAAGCGTTTGTTGAATGGGTTGGATGCCTTTAAACATTGCACTAGCGGTATCTCACCATAGAAATGCTCCATTTTGCATCTTCTCAAGCGCGCCAGAGCGCTTGGATAAACCAAAGCCATACATTTCGATATTAGAACAGCTGTCGTGCATCAAACACAGATCCAGAGTGCATAATGCACGACAGCTATGCCTCGGCGCACATGCCCCGCCTTGAATTATTTGTTTTGCGAGTCCATGGTCACAGAGCGCTCCCTTATAAACGGTGTTAAGAATGCTCAATTCCCCCAAGACTCAAACTATAAAAAGTTTATCAAGAATTATTCCGGATCATGACTACTACCAGCAGACCCAGTAGTATCAGTTCCACGAAGAGGTCTCGGTTCAGCTTCTCCGGACTCACATCAGGTTCAAAATCATCCAAACGAGATTCTCTATTCCGCCGTACCCCCTCAAATACCGATAATGGCCTTAGCTCTCTTGACTCACGAAGCTATCTTGGTGGTGAGGGCTACTCGGAGGTTAGTGCTGGTAGCTCAGCTTCACAAATACGAACAATGAGCAGGGTGATTGTGAAGAAGTTTGATAAGATGTCGACTTCTACGCGCTCTGTCATCTCGTTCGGGGGAAGTAGTGGGGCAAATAAGGTGGGATACAAGAATGAGGAAGAGGGGCCTGATAGGCTGAGTTCTAGAGGACGGAGTCTAGAGATGATACTTGAGGCTGGGATGGATGTATCTATGAAGTTGCGGACATTCTTTGAGAAGAATAACGATATTCTGAAAGGCGATTCGAGGGCCGGAAATCTGAAGATGCAAAACGAAAGGATCCTGGAAGGGGACTGGGGGATGACTACGGAGATCGCCGTGTGTGGGGATAATGGAGCTGGTAATGATATCTTTGAACGGGGTCGAAGATGAGTTCTAATATTGTGTAGGAAAGAGCTCTTTGATCAACGCATTACTGGATGTCGGGTGTATCACTCCTATTGTAAGTTGAGATACATCTGTACCTGATACAGCTATAGTTGACATTGCCGCAAATAGAGTAACAGTAACTCCTGCACGGCCACGCCAATTGAATTCCGCGCTCGAGACCGGGCCCAAAAGATGAATTCCAAATATACAGTAACCAGCACCCTTCTGACGCAGGCTGAATGGTTACCTTTTGCGACACGGATTCTTGGAGATATTCAGGAGGATCCGGCAGATATGAAATACATCACCGCCAGGGGAATTCTTAAATCGCTGTTCAACCTATCGGAAGAATCAAAAGTAGTTTTGGAAGATATTCAAGCTATACCGGCATTCTTGAGGGATTTGGCGGATAAATTCAGCACTCAGGATATCTCGGAGGTAAATAAACATATACAGAGACTTAATTCTGAGTGTTGGGCTGTCTTGAAGAAAATAACGTAAGTTGTTCCTGATATCAGATTCCTTGTCTGGAATACTTATAAAACGTCGACAGAATTTATATGGATTCACCGGTTTTGAATACCGGTGTTGTACTTGTTGATTTACCTGGTACGGAAACTGGCTTTTAACATATATATCTTTAGTGAAGTAACTGTGCGCTAATTAAATGTAGGCCTTGGTAAAATCAACCCGATGAAGCTAGCTACAGTCAATGAATATCTCAAATCGTGTGAAAGTGTTCTGATCGTGTCGGATATTTCACGGGTCGGAATGGATGATTTGTTAATGGACCCCATATTTGAACCTATTGCTCCCCGAGCGCAATTAGAACCACCGTCGAAGTTCGCATTTATTCTCACTCAAATCGATGTCAGTTTATTCCTCCCATTAAAAATTACATTCTAACAGTAATTGTAGAACATACCCCGTGTTGCCAGTGATCCAAAATGGGATAAGTACTACTCCCGCTGCCCTGATGTAAAAAAAGAAAAACTCAACTGATTCCGCCTAGAAAACGCGAAATTCTTTTGCGCGTTGCAGCTACCCGTGACATGATTCACAAATCTCCTAAATCTCGTCTCAATACTTCCACAGTGATATTCACCTCCAGTCTCGAGTACCAGTGGCACCACCGCCGCCTTCTCCAACCAAAAAGGACTTCATGCATCTCACCCGAAGAATCTGGTATCCCAGCTCTGAGAAGGTTTATACAAGAAAAAGGATTAAAGAGGAGGGAGGCGGTGGTAAAGAGTCTGGTCCAGGGAAATATGACAACCTTTATGAACTCGGTGCAGAATTGGTGCAATGAGGAGGAGACAGTTCCGTCGACACCAGAGGAGGAAGTAATGGCACCAGAGGAGGAAGTAATGGCACCAGAGGAGTTGCAAATGTGTTTCGAGGGTATGCAAAAGGTTGGTTTTCATTTCAGAAGCGCCAAGTAAATGTATGGT